GTAAGCACTCTTAAGATCTTTATCAACCTCTCTGTTGTTGAGTCTGAAGTGATTGTTTAGGCTCAGCACCACGTAGTGTACCAATCCAAGCCGGTGGCTGCATCCCGGTTTGCTCGTAAACCGTATCAAGAACCGGTGGCAACATCTTGTAAAGTCCAGCAATATCCTTCATACCACCATTACCAGCACCATTCATCCCTTGATCGGAACCACCATGGTTCCAGACACTGATCTTAGGCTGCAAGTCCCTGATCGCAACCGCATTGGTCTTGGCGATATCTTGATAAACTCCATTGTTGATCATCAAGAAGTCTCTCATGGCTGAGTAATCATTGTTAACCGCGCCAAGTAGAGTCTTGAGATAAGTCCCTTGAGCAGTAGCCATAGCAACAAGTCCCTCTGCATCTCTCTGTTTCGAATAGAACGCGGCATCAGCTGCAGCTCTCATCGCCTCCGCTTGCTTCTGCTTCTCGTAAAGAACAGCTTCTGCTTGCTTTTGCTTATTGTACAACTCCCAGTTCGCTTCTTGCACCTTGGTTTCATACTGAACGCTGGCTTTACTGAGGAACTCAGCTTTAAGCTTCTCTGTTTGAGTCAATGCATTCATTTTCTCGACTTTCGTCTGAAGCTCAGCTTCTCTCAAAGCAACTGCTTTAGTTGCTTCAACTTCAGCAACACGAGAATCTTTAGTCAAAGCAGCTTTCTGAATCGCCAATGCTGCATCAGCTTCAGCAACAAGAGCCTCCTTCTGATTCTTAAACACTTGAATCTCAGTCTTCACCTTAATCTCTTCTTTGGTTCCTTCTCCAAGCCGCTGAGTAGATATGATCTTCGACTCGGCGTCAATCTTAGCTGCGTTCTGGATCGTGAGTCCAGTCCGTTCTTTAGCACCAACCTCTCCCTTCATCTTTGCTTCTGCTACATCGATCTTGGCTTGGTTAGCTGCTTCCATCTGAGTTTTCTGACCCAAGTAAGAAAAGTACTCATGTCCAGGCACATCAACGAGCTGCTTGACATTAGCGTTATAGATCACAAGACCAAATTGGTTTAGCTCAAGCTGCACTTTGTCAAACACCTCCTTCTTAAACTCCTTTGTTCCTACACAAATCCCAACAAATCCAATTCTGAGCATAAGCAAAACATACAAATTCTTCCCAAATCTAACAAATCAAAGCAAGATACTCTGTAGTCACAAATCAAGATTCCGATTTATTGTTTTTTACCTTTGAAGACCTCTTCCATGGTCATGGAGGCAACGAGAACGCGAGTCTCTCCTTCGATAACACCTTGAACAAGCTCATTGACATGATTCGAGTGTTTATCGTGTTGAGACATGAGCATCGCGTACAATAACAGAGAGTGAGGGTCATCGACGCGTGGACCGATGGTGAAAACCGCCGGAATCACAAAGGGGAGTTTCTCGGAACTCATGGCTTGGACCTCGAACGTGTAGTTCACAGGAGAAACATCGAAGACGGTGCAAGACTGCCATGGAAACACCCAAGACTTCTTCGCGAGCTTGATGTCTTTGATTCCACCACCGGTAATCGCCAGATACTGCGATGCTTTAGCGACTCTGTAACTCATCGTCTTCTTTTGGAATTTAGGG